CGTTCATTACAAGTAGTTAAAGATAAGGTTGATCGTTTGGTGAGTGACAAACCTGATCTGTTCGATGGTATTGGTGAAGATACAAATGAACGTCTTGATCATTTAATCGCAACTGTAGAAAATCAAGCAGAACAAATGAATATATTAAGAAATGAACATGATCAGATCGAGGAACAACTACGCAAGGATCTTACAGAACTTCAACAGTAAGTAAAAATTAAGTTATCATTGATCAAGACCTCAGTTCTGTAAATTTCTTTAGTTCACTGGAAACCTGTCAAAAGGACCTGAACAATGAACGTGAAATGAAAACTGAAGAATGTCTTACTGCCGCTGCACCATCCACTTCATCAGAAACTGCTAGGTAGCCTAATTTTAAACATGGCTTAAATTGTCAGTCTTGACTTACTTTATATTTTAGTTCGTCAGTTGTTGAAGAATATGAAAAACAGATTAAACAATTAGAAGAAAAGGTTATTGAAAAAGAGGAAGAATTAGCTTCTCTGAATAAAAATATGACTGAAATTGAACATAAACTGAAACAATCAGCCGAAGATAATGAATTAAATATGAATTCATACGAGGAACGAATACAATCTTTCATAGACGAACGAAATACACTCATAGAACAACAAGCACTTCGTTTTTCAGAATGGTTTGATTTTATCCTAATTTTTTCTATATATTTCATTATTTAAATACTTTTTAGTGAACGTGAAATTGAAGAATTAAAAACATGTAATGATCAATTTCAAGAAGAATTAACTGAACTCAAACAACCATCTATTTCTCAACATGTAGAAATTCAAACAGATGAAGAGTAAGAAAATTCGACTATATATATATGAATTAAACTTCTTGTAACTTAGTATCAATGCACTAAATGAAATGATTGAACAACAATCAGAAGAATTAAAAACTTTAAAAGAAAATTGTTTATCTCTTAACTCTCAGATCGATTCCCATGCAATATTACAAGCTGAAACAGAAAGACAACGGTAGTAATTTAATAATAAAATTTACATTAACTAAATCTAATGTTTTTTCTTCAGTATTGAAAACGAACAACAAATAAATAACTATCAATATGAAATCGAAAGTCTTCAGGAAGAACGTACAAGACTTTTAGAAGAAATACAAAAGAATATCGTATTACCAATACAAACAATAGATAATGAAAGTCAAACAGATGATCACGAACGTAAAAAATTAATTAAAACAAATAAAAAATTGACAAATACATTAGAAACATTTCAAAATAAGATTCATCATTTTGTATCGGAAAATCCCGATCTATTTGATGGTATTGGTGAAGAAGTAAATGAACGTTTTGATCATTTAATAACACAAATTAATCTATTACAAAATCAAATAGAACAATATCAGAGGTAATTAATTCAATTTTTTCAATTATCATATTTCACTTTAAAAATTTTCTAGTACTTTGCAAAGATTTAAAAATGAACTTGATAATGAGCATGAAATAAAGACTGAAGAATTGAATTCTTTACCATCAAGGTTGACTAAAATTGGATTATTTCAAAATATAAACATGTATTTGAAAATGATTTTATTTTTAGTTCGCTTGTTATTGAAGATTATGAGAAAAAAACGGATCAACTTCAACAATTTCACCCTGAAAAAAATAAAGAACAAATATTGCTTGACGATCGTTTGAATGAAATTCAATTTCAACTGAGAAAAACATTAAATGATCGTGCTTTAACAATAACTAAATACGCATCGGTTGTAAAAGAAAACGATGCACTTGTCGAACAACAAACACTTCAGTTAGCCCAAAGGTAAAATGATCTTACCTATTTAAATGTTGTTTTTTAATCTACAGCCATTTAGCCACTATGAACTTGAACGATTGAAAGAAGAAATAACTGTATTGAAGCAATTGCCGACGTACCAACATATTGAAGTTCAAACAGACGAAGAGTAAGTTGATAGAAAAAAACAACACGACATATTCTTTTCATAACTGAATTAAATTTTTATTTTAGTATCAGAATGACTGAACTGACAGAAATAAATTCTAATCTTTCGAATAAACTCGAGAGGCAAAAGTAATATTTCTTTCAAACAGTAATAATATAGTATCGAAAGAACTTTCTTTTAAATAATAATCTAGGAGAGAAATGGAAGATCTATTTGATAAACATGAAAAGAAACTTAATAATCTTATTCATGAACGAACAAAACTTTTAACTGAAATGGAAAAACGTGTATTACCATCTATTCAAACAAATACTTGCGAAATACAAACAGATACCAAACAATATGAACAAATAGTTCAATTAAATGAAGAAATGAAACATTCATTAGATATTTTTCAAGAAAAAATTCATGGAGTTGTTGGAGAACGACAAGATATATTTGATGGTATTAGTGAAGAGACAAATGAACGTCTTGATCATTTAATTTCAACATTAGAAGATCAAGCAACACAAATGGATACTTTACAAATTGAAAGCACACGAGTTGAAGAACAATTACGAAATGAAATCAAACATCTTCAAAAGTATAACAATACCCTTTCTTTTATTCTATTGATATATTAATTATTTTCATCTAGTGCATTGAACGCATGTCAATACGAATTAGATAATGAGCGTCGATTGAAAGTAGAACGACTTGTTTCTACTTCATCGTCGGATACGAATAAGTAAGATAAACAATATTTAAGAAATAATTCTATCTATAATATTTAGTTCATCGATTATTGAAAATTATCAAAAACAAATTGATCAATATCAACAAAATCTTGTTGAAAAAGATGAAGAGCGAAATTTATTACGTGAACGTTTTAATGAAGTTGAACTTGAATATCAAAAGATTCAAAATGATAATACATTAACAACATCGAAATGTGAATCACTTGAAAAAGAACGAGATGCATTAATTGAACAACTTAAAGATTTAAATGAAAAAAATACATCTCTTCTATCTCAAATTGAACTTAACAATGAGGAGTAAGAATTGTATTATATATATAAATCTTTATTTATCTATAAAATTTCTATAGGAAAGAATTTGAAGAACAATTATTTCAACATAAAAAACAACTTGAAAATCTTATTGATGAACGTACAATGTTTATGGAAGGATTAGATACGAATAATGTACCATCTCTTCCAATAGAAAATAATGATGAATATAATCTATTACTTGAAATCAATCAAAATTTACGAACTGAAATAGAAACAATCGAAAATAAACTAGATTCTATTATAAATACAAAACCTGATCTATTTGAAAACATTGGAAACGATATTCATGAACGTCTTGATTATTTAATTAATCAAGTAATACAACTTAAAGATCAATCTAAACAAGAGAATGAAAAATATCAACAATTACAAAAGTAAAAATTCTTTTTTTTTTTTATTACTCATTTTAATTTATATAATTAGTTCGTTTGATATGTATCGACAAGAAATTGAAAATAAAGAAAAAATTGAAGAACAAGCAAATAATAATTCAACTCAAACTGAAATTGATTCATCTTCATATGTTGATGTTGAAATAATAAAGGATAAAATACAACAAATAATTCAAAATTATCCAACACTTCATTCTAAATCAAATAATAATATCATCGAAGATTTCGATCAAATATTTTCTAATATTACGGACCTTCAACATGAGATAAAAGAATTACAAAGGTAAATAAAAAGAGATATGAGTATATATATATAATGTAGTAGAAAAGATAAGGCAATATATAATTTTAGGCACATATTTTGAATTTTTTTTCTCTCAGATTTGAGTGTAGAAATGTAGGAAGTGAAAATTACATTTTATCCTTTCATATGAACGAATAGAAGATATCAGATAGTTGATTATCTATTAGAGATACTTTTTTAACGCGTCAACACACATAATAATAAACACCTTGATAATATATCTTGCACTAGACCGTGACAAGCAGAGCTTTAACGGTAAAAGTTATTTTCTATCTTAATAATAGTAAAACATGACAAGGTAACAAAAAGACGAATTAGCTATTCTTTCCAATAAGAAACTATAGTTCTACTTTTTACTTTTAATTTATTCTAGTTCATATGATACATATCGAAATGATATTGAAAATAATCGTTTAATTAAAATGGAACAATTACAATCGTATCAATTAAATGATGTTGATACTCAAACGATAGGGTACATATATATGTTTAATCATTTATCTATAATTCTTTGTATTTATTTAATAGTTTATCAATTATTGAAGAACATCAAAAACAAATTGAAAAACTTCAAGAAAATGAATTAGTTTATCAACGTGAAATTCAACGTTTATTAGAAGAAAAAAATCAAGCACAAGATTTATTATCACAATGGAGAAAAGATAAAAATGAAAAAACAAATGTTGGAGAATTATCTAATATTAATAGGTATTAATTCATTTTAAAATTTAATTTCATTTAATTTAGTTTTCTTAGTCATATGGAATCACATATAAATGAATATCAATCTCAAATAGATAATCTTCTTCGTGAACGTTTAACTCTAACAGAAGAAATCAAACAATTGACATCTCAATCTAGAAAAACTGATAGTGAAAGTCAAACAATGAATGACATCGATTTGTAATTTGTCTTTGTTTATTTTACGTTTGTATTAAAACGTTTTTTTTTTGCTTTTCATTTTCAAGGCAGTCATCATCATCATCAGATCAAAATATTTCACGTCATATATTCGAACAAGAAATGTTAGCTTGGTCAAATGAAAGTGAAGAACTAAAACGTTTAGTTAAACAGATACAATTTGAAAATAAAAAACTTAAAGGTATTATATTAAAATTTGAACATATGGTTCTTGATTATGTTCATGAAAATGAACGATTAAAACAAGAAAATCAACATCTTTCATTTCATAATTATTCATCATTACAAAAAACTGATGGTAGTACACAAAATTCAGCAGCTTCCGATACTGATATTTGTTATTTAACATTAAAATGCTTAACCTACGAAGTTGCTCAACGTATATCAAATACGACGAATAATGAACAATCATCAGTATTGATTAAGAATGATTCTGAACAAGATTCAAAACAACGTTATAATGATATGGAACGACAAATGAAAAATGTTTGCATACAAAATGAACGTTTAAAAAATCAATTAGAAACATATACATTACAATTTAAACAACTTCAACATGAAATGAGTATTAAAATGCAAGACATATCAACACTTAAAGATGAAACAGACAGGTAAAGAAGATGCACGAAAAATGACGTCTAATTAGAGAACAAACTTAAGATACTTTATTAAAAGGAGGTGGTCGAAAATCGTCGTTTTTAATGCACGCTAGAAATGTCATAATACGAAAGTCCTTGCCACCTGGATCACGAATCTGACATCCGTTTGTCTAGATTTGATCCTTTTTTTCAATGATTCTCATTGGGTGGTCCATGGAGTGTCAAACACAAAGTATTCAAAACATTTTCTCAGAAAATTTTACTTTCCCACAATCTTTGTAGAGCTTCTTTCGCTGATCATTTTCATATAAAGAAGTTTTGAATTCTATTGAGAAATGACGACGTTATCGTCAAAATAAAAAACATAGTAAAATAGCTTAAAATCCCATTTTTTTTTTATAAAATATAGAAAAAAGTTGGTTCTGCATTCTCTACAAAACCTGCTATGTCATATTTCTTCAGAATACAGTCGGTTCGAGATTACAGAACCAACTTTTTCCTATATTTTATAAGAAAAAAATGGGATTTAAACTATTTTCTGAGTACTTTGTGTATTTGTGTTTGACATCCCATGGAACTACTTTGCTGAGACCCAGGTACCCCCCCCCCCCTGCATGAAAACCGACACAAACGGATATCAGATTCGTGATCTAGGTGACAAGGACTTTCGTATTATGACATTTCTAGCGTGCATTAAAACTAATGATTTTTCGGCCACCCCCTTTGAAAGTAATCAATACCAATGTAGAAATGAGAAAAGAGAACGTAAAATGATTTGCCTATAGCATAAATCGATATTATGAAGTGAAATGACAATTTCATGTCGTGTCTCTATTGAAAAAAATATACTTAAAAAAAAACCTATCATCATAAACACTGGAAAAATAAAATTTCATACATTATTTTTACTTTATCTTAAGATTACGTACAAGTGAAATTCAATATCGTTTGGAAGCCGATCGTCTTACAGCTTATCTTCACGATGATCAATTAAAAATTCAACAACTTGAACGTGATTTATATGATATAAAACAGCGACAATTAAATAACGATGACAAATCAATCGCCGTAAAAAAAACTTTCTTTTTTTTTTGACTTTATAAAAATTTAATTTATCTAGAATCTTCGTGAATTACTTGAATTGAAAGAACGTGAATTAAATGCATTAAAAGAAAAACTAGATTATACTAAACAAACCCATCAAATTGAATTACAAGAAGCAACTAAAGCCAATCAGGTAGGCGACGTCGATAATTACAATTACCATGCTTCTTCTTCATTCTACTAACACACAATCGATTCACATGGAATGCTTATGAATGTTGTTGCACATGCGCTGCTTGTCTATCTTTTTTTTTGTTATATATGACTGATTTCTAGATAAGCATTGCGTTCTCTTCATGTATAGTTTTATTTTATTTTTCCGAGTTTTATTTTATTATGAGTAAAAAAAAAAGTATTTTCTTTAGTTTATTTTATCGGTGATATACATATATATATATTATTGTGTGATACTAATGTGTCTATCTGCTATATTTTTTTTAACTTGATTGCTGCTAGTAAATAGAAAGTAAAACCAACATCTTTTAAATATTGTGTGAACAGAATTGTTTTTTTCTTTTTCTTCGTTTAACCATTGATTTATTTCTATATTATAGTTTTCACTTGATAATGCAAAACGTCTTGAACAAGCGGATGTACGAAATAAAGACAAACGACGAGAATTGGAAACAAAAGTGACGAAATTCTGTACAATTACTAGACCTTTAGTTGAAAATCAACAGTTATTTAGAGAGGTAAAATAATAAGTAAATAAATATATTGTAGTTTTTTTTTCATTCCATTTGAATAGAATCCAATAATTAATATGGATGAATTACGCAAATTAATTGGTGAAGTTGATACAGAAAAACGAGTTTCAAAGTAAGTTGTTCTAGTCATGTGTTTAGTTAAAGAAATGACATTCTTCATGGTATAAAATTTTAACTTTTAGTACACTTAGTCCAATTCGTGATTGTTTGGGTCTTTTGGAAGCTCAAATGAGAGATTTACATCATGGTATTATTGAAAATCATGCTCGACGTTCAAAACGATGGAAATATAAATTAGGATTTGAATGTCTTGCATGTGAAAGTCGATGGTAAAGATTATTTATTGATTTATTTAAATATATTTTTGAAAACATATTTAGGGAAGTTACACATGATATTCGTGATTTACAAGAAGCATGTTTAGATCCAAATCGTTTTCTTGAATCATCAATTGTTGAACCTATGGCAGGATGTTCATGTCCAATAATAATTGATTTTATTGAGAGCGATGTTCGATTGATTGTAGATGATATGATAGATGAAGTGACATCAACAATTGCAGTGAACTAAACATTTTCTTCTTGTATACCTGTATTCAATTTGTTTTTCCGTGTGTTTTTTTTTCTTTTTTTTTCTCGTTTTGCTTCTTTAAAATCTGTTATTGGTCTAAAGAGGTTATCTCTTTATTTATTTATTTTGTTGGTTAATAAACAAAACATTTAATATGATATTTATATCATTTTAAATCAATTCGTTTAGTTTATTATTCTATGAATTACTCGTAATGTGTATACAATTTATTAAAATTGAATTTGATAAAACATTCAATTTCATAACATATTAGTTTTATTATATAAGATAAAACGATAGACAAACAAACATTGATGTTAGATTACAAAATGTCCTCGATTGTTCAGTTATTCGATTTGCAAAGTAGAACAATTAATCACTGACTAGTATATTTTCATTTTGTTATTTGATCCCCGTATCCCGAAGGAAACGGGAGTGGACCAAACTCAACGGCACTGCAGTGTCGAGATGATCCGTGGCACAGGTCCGAGTGAACTCGGGTGATCCTGGCCGATGTCCAAAAATCCGCTTGAAAGAGCCTGACCTCAATGAGATCAGCGCCGGCTTTCAAACCGACGAGAACAGATACTACACTTTGATCTTAGCCGAAAAGGCCGAGAAGCGATAACTAAATAGACAAATTCGATCTTCTTTTCTTTCCTCTGTTTATACACATTTCATTTTTCCGTAAAAGAAAAGAGAATGTATTTTACTTTAACTTAAGACATTACAGTACATATAATTTCTTCACCATAAATATTGTACAAGAATTATACAAGATATTACATAGATCATGTGGTAGATTTCTGCATCATATTGCAATATTTGTTTTTTTTTCGTTTAATAAAAAAAGCGTTGCTCTGGCAGACTAGTGTTACCACTAATCCGCACGATTTCGTCATCGCAACATGTATTTGATCAGAAGAGATCATTTACCTCTTAGTAAGTTGTAATAAGCAACTTTTCTCGATAGTGTATAGATCACCATATGTGTTTTGTCGTTGTATATATCATATCGAAAGAATAAGAAGAAATAGTAACACGTGTAAAGACATATTAGATATCGTGCTTCACATACTATCGAATAAATTAGCTTATCACAAGCTACCAAGAAATCATATTATTGTGTAAACATATTTAGTGAAAATAATGGGTGATCTTCAAGTATTTATTGGAAATTTGTGTAATATATCTACTGACGTATTACGTACATATTGTGAACAATATGGATCATTAATAGAATTATCGGTAAATCGAAACAAAGACAATGATCTTTATCATTGTTTTGCTTTTGTTACTTTTCAACTTCCACGTAATATATCACAATTTATGTCTCATCGACCACATTCTATAGATGGTGAAGAAATATTTGTTAAACGAACATTACCACGTTCAGCATCAACTATCGCTGAAAGACTTATTACTACTAATCGATTGGTTTCACGCGATTTATCTAAATATAATAAAAATCTTTTACAAAATTATTTTCAAAAATATGGTAATGTTAAAAAAATTGATATTGAAAATGATTATATTGATTTTGATGATTATGATGATGTTGACCGTGTTTTACTTGCTCGACCACATTATATTCGTGATAAAGAAATATCAGTAACTAAATTTTTTCCATCTGAACAACAAGATAATTCAGAAAATCATCATATATGTTCCAATCATCGTCAACGACTTACTACAAATTCTGGACAATCTTTTCGAATTAGTAGAACATCATCGACAGAATCAATGACACATTCAAATATTGAAACACTTGGGCGAAATCCATCTATCAAACGAGAATGGAATAGTGATGATGATGATGATGATGATGAGCAAGAAGGTAGAATTGATTGTAATTATTCTAGTACTCAATATGAACATCTTGAAGAACAATTTTATGAATATAAACAAGCAAAAGAAATTGAAATAGCTGCTTTAAAAATGGATTTAGAACATACAAAACATCAATTGATTGATATAATGGAAGAAAAGTTTGATCTATTAATAAAAAATCAAGAATTATATCATAAGGACTTATTAATTCGTCTATCTTCTAATAATACATCTATGTATACAGAAGCAACCGAAGATTCATTTCCATCAACACCGAATCACACAGTAAAAAAACGTAAATTGACAAGATCACCATCATTATCATCAATTTCTTCTGAATATGATTCCGATCTGTAAAAATATATGATTACAGACAAATAGCTTATTTTATTTTGTACTGTTTGTTCATTTAAAATTTGATTTGGTTGTTTTTGCACACATATATATCTATATCGACATCTAGTCATTAGTTCACATATAGTATACTTATTTATCTTTGAGCCGTTTTCCTTTTTTTCTATTTTTTTCTAGAAGAACTTTTGTAGTAGATTTGTTTTTAGTTTAGATATGTTTGTTTCTTGATTGATATTGAATTATAAAAAAAAGCTCTCCGATGAGATAAATGTTGCGATGACAAAATTGTGTAGGTTAGTGGAAACACTGATTTGTCAGAGCAACTTTTCGAAAAAATAAAACTATATATAATTCATTGTTGATTCAACTTAGAAGTTCCGGAATTTTGTATGGTAAGATAGATCAATGAGCTATCTGATGATTATTGTTGTTCATAAATGAGTATGTTATCTTAACATCTACTAAAATCATTTCATCTTTTAAACTAGTTCAACGAAGAGAATATCTTTCGTTGAAATAGATGCAATGAGAATCTTATCTACTATAGTAAAAGACATTTAAATCGAGGTTCAGAATTAATCTTTAATTTATTAAACAAAAAAGTATAGAATCATATCATTGAGAGCATAAGAAATTTCCAATTTCACTATCTGCGCATTGAAAGAAAAAAACTATTTTGTCGAATTAAAGATTTTCAAATATTAAAAAGTAAAATTACCTAAATATTTCTAGCCTAATCCATAATTGACCTAGTGCTTTTTTAAAACTTGAACGACGAAAATAATCATTTACTTTAAAATCAGAACTACAATAAATAGCAATATATGTTTATTAAACATGTGTTATTTTTCTTTTTTTTCGTTTTGCTTATTTAAAATCTGTTATTGGTCTAAAGAGGTTATCTCTTTATTTTGTTGGTTAATAAACAAATCATTTAATATGATATTTATATCATTTTAAATCAATTCGTTTAATTTATTGCTCTACGAATTACTCGTAATGTGTAGACAACTTATTAAAATTGAATTTGATACAACATATTATCTGAGTATTTCGTATCTTAAATCAAATTATATGTAATTCAATTGTATCTAGAACTATCATAATAATAGATATCGAAGACTTATTATTGATATATGAACATACTTTAATTTTGTGAAACACAATCTAAAAGGAGTGTTTAACGATAGAAATGTACACCCAATTCTTTCTTCGTAGCAAATCGCTGCATAGACATCTTGAAGGTGTGACTATGGATGTGGGTGGTAAGGACTCTTTTTCGCTGACACTCTCAAGATTAATAGAAAATGATGCATGATTAAGTCTTTTTCGTCGTTTGTTGATGATGAAAGCACTTTTTTTACAAATTTATTTTAGTTATCTACTGAATGGTCATTTACAAACTTTCAATTGAAAGGATATAACAAGAAGAAAGATAAAAGCCAGTTTAAACATTTACCAATATTAATGCTTTTTTTCACTTGCGATTATCAAATAACAAACATGATTCAACACGTTTTTTCTCCGCTAAAGCAAATCAAACATTTACTTTTCGTAAGCTACTGCTATTGTTAGTCAACCATGACAGTATTTCATGAGTGTGTTTTTTTCGTTCTTCATTAGTTGTTTTTCATAATCACATTATCACGAGGTGGAGAAAAAAATTTCGAAATAAAGTAGATACTAAAAAAAAGAACCGGTTTTAATCATTACGTCACTACTAAATTTTGCATAATAACTTGAATCTAAAGCATCCACACAGTCAATAATGAACAGCAGAAAATCAATAACAACTAATGAATCTAATGACGCAATAAATAAATACCCATTTCCAGAAGATGCAGACGGTCGTCGACGTATCAATATTCAACAAATGCAAAATATTCTTCTTATCTGGTTAGACAGTAACATTGACGAGACAAATGATGATTGCAAGAATACAATCAAACAACTGCGACGCGCTATCAACGAGATCAATACATTTACAGATAGTGATAAATGTTTCGAATTCATTCAAACAATCATTAACAAAAAGGCATGTATGATTCTATCTGGATCACTTGGACAACATATTGTACCTCGTGTACACAATATATCTCAAATTGATTCAATTTTTATTTTTTGTGAAAACCAAAACTATCATGAACAATGGATCAAAGAATGGCCTAAAATAAAGGGTATCTTCACAGATATTACATCTATCTGTGAAGCACTCAAATCGGCAGCTCATCAATGTGAGCAAAATGCCATTCCCATGAGTTTCATTGAATCAAATAAAAAGTTGGATCAATTAGATCCTTCTTTTATGTATACACAACTCATCAAAGAAATATTATTGAGCATAAAGTTCGAACAAAAACACATTCAAGATTATATTAATTACTGTCGCGATGTTTTTGGTGACGATGAAGAAGAAATGGTTCACATTAAACAATTTGAAGATGAATACTACGACGAACCACCAATTTTTTGGTACACCTGTGACATGTTCCTCTATCCCATGCTCAATCGTGCATTACGATTGATGGATGGTGATATTATTACACGGATGGGTTTCTTCATTGGTGATCTGCATAGAAATATTGAACAACTATACCAGAAACAATATGCTGATAAAACTGCTGCTGACATCTTCATCCTTTATCGTGGACAAGGTTTAACTAAAGGAGATTTTGAACAAATGATGAAAGCTAAAGGCGGTCTTGTTTCATTCAACAACTTCTTATCTACTAGTGAAAACATCAAAGTTTCACTAGGTTTTGCTCAAGATGCAACAATAAATTCAGATCAAGTGGGAGTTCTTTTTATCATGCAGATTAATTCTAGTCAATCAACGACACCCTTTGCTTCCATTGCTAGCATCAGCGCTATGAAAAGAGAAAAGGAAGTCTTATTTTCAATGCATAGCGTTTTTCGTATTCAGGATATTAAACAGATAGATGGAAATAACCCTTTATACGAAGTTAAGTTGACACTTACTGCTGATAACGATCCAGAACTAGGCAGACTTACTGATTACATTCGAAAAGAGAGTTTTCCAGATACCGAAGGATGGTATCGACTGGGATCAGTACTATACAATATGGGTCAATTTAAAAAAGCTGAAGATATTTATCAACATATACTTGATCAATCCAACGATAAAAGAGATAAGGCATATATTTATTATCAAGTTGGTTCAATCAAAGATGCTCAAGGAAAATATGAAGAAGCACTTTTAACTCATGAAAAAGCCCTTGCAATTCGAGAACAATCACTTCCTCCCAATCATCCTGATTTGGCTAAATCCTATAACAACATTGGTAATGTAAATTCCCACATGGGTAATTATCCCACAGCACTTTCTTATTATAAAAAAGCTCTTCAAATTTGGCAGCAATCACTTCTCCCCAATCATCCTGATCTGGCTATGTTCTACAACAGCATTGGTAATATGCATGATACCATGGGTAGTTACCCAGAAGCACTTTCATCTCATGAAAAAGCCCTTGCAATTCGAGAACAATCACTTCCTCACAATCATCCTCATTTGGCTAAATCCTACAACAACATTGGTAATGCGCATAACCACATGGGTAATTATCCGAAAGCACTTTCTTATTATGAAAAAGCTCTTGAGATCAGTCAACAATCACTTCCTCCCAATCATCCAGATCTGACTATGACCTACAACAACATTGGCTTAGCGTATTCCCGCATGGGTAACTATCCGAAAGCATTTTCATATTATGATAAAGTTCTTCAAATTTGGCTGCAGTCATTTCCTCCTAATCATCCTGATCTGGCTATGTGCTACAACAACATTGGATCAGCGCATGCCAGCATGGGTAAGTATCCAGAAGCACTTCCTTATTATGAAAAAGCCCTTGCAATTCGAGAACAATTACTTCCTCCCAATCATCTTGATTTGGCCAAATGCTATAACAACATTGGTGTAGTGCATGAGAACATGGATAATTGTCCGAAAGCACTTTCTTATTATGAAAAAGTCCTTGAAATCCGACAGCAATCACTTCCTCCCAATCATTCAGATCTGACTATGTCATTCGACAACATTGGGTCAGCGTATAACAGCATGAATAATTATCCGAAAGCACTTTCGTCTTATGAAAATGCTCTTGAAATTCGGCAACAATCACTCCCTCCCAATCATCCTGATTTGGCTGTATCCTATAACAAAATTGGTAATATACATAAATACATGAGTAATTATCCGGAAGCACTTTCTTATTATGAAAAAGCCCTTGGAATTTGGCAGCAATCGTTTTCTTTCAATCATCCTCATTTGGCTAAGTCTTACAACAACATTGGTGAAGTGCATAACCACATGGGTAACTATTCAGAAGCAGTTTTATTTTACGAAAAAGCTCTTGAAATTCAACAACAATCACTTCCTTCCAATTATCTTGATGTGGCTAGGTCCTACAACGACATTGGTAATGTGCATCACAGCATGGGTAATAATTCAAAAGCCCGTACATTTTATGAACATGCTATAGAAATTGAAGAACAATTGCCACCTTCAAATCATCCGGATCTTCGAAAGTATAGAAATAACCTCGAAGATTGAAAAAACAAATAATAAATTGTATTGTCCTGAATTCTATTTTGTGAAAGCAAAAAGATTAACTTTTAAAATGAGAAAAGAATTGTTTTAAATGCGCGTGCTTACAAAGAAACTCTGAACTTGTTGAGAACAAATGAATAATAATACCCATCGGTAAGGTAAGCAATACATATCAAGAGACATGTATTGTAGAAAAAGACCTTTACGATATATAATTATTGTATCTGAACAAGGTAGAGTTTCTCTGCGTTAAGTAAGAAGGGAACGGTCACCCAACAGGCTATTTAAAATAACGAAAAGAGAGAAGAAGAACTTTATTTATTCAATAGGAATTATTCTTTCTGTTTGAAGAAAAAGAATAATTCGTATATATTGAATTGAAAACACTTTTCAATTCAAATCAACTCAATCGAATGAAATGAAAACAGTATATATATAGTGTCATCAACGAGATGGACAATGAAAAGGTAAGGCATAATGATTGTGGACGCATATCTAATTGTTCGTGTAATTTAAAAGAGAGTGTGCGTGTGGGAGAACGTGAGCAATAGTGGGTGAAAGTGTAGATGAAGAACAAATATAGTAGCCAGATTCATACATCACATTTTCAAAATATGAGATAAAATGAAACAGCAATATGACGTGTGATGAAGAAATCATGCCTAGTAGAAACTGAAGTCTGAAACAAGTGTGTATTCTTGTTCGAAAGTATAGACATTAGAACAGTACGAATAATCAGTAAAGCAAAGTTATTCCTGGAATATCGTCTATTAATTTCGATATGTTGAATTGACTATTTAATTTTCAATATTATCGTATAGATTAAATATTCAGATTAAACAAATCGCACAATAAATATTTTGTTTTGTTGATATAAATAGAATGAACTAGGGTGTGCGCGTGTGAGTGTGGGGTTTGATGAGAGAGGCTATGGTTGTGGATGTCCTTTATTAATCTAAAGAGAACACGCATATCCACACCCACATCTCTGCATAGACTTGACCATTGAATTTCAGAACAAAATAAAACTATTGAGCACATAATCTTTAAGATAGATAAGTTAGTAATCTTTTTATATTAAATGATTTTCTCTTGCATTTTGTAACAACTGTTAAAATGCTGACCAGATGAGTTCATAATACGTAAATTAGTTCTGTCTGATATTTCTATACGTTTATACCACACGACAAGATAAAAACGATCTTGAGGGTGTGTGTATGTGTGTATGGGTATAGCTGCTAAGGGCTCTTCTTCTCTGACATCCTCACTCACACTCATCCACACGCACACTCATCCCACCCTAGAATATGAGCTTCATCGCTGATCTACCTTGATCGAGAATCATGTACATTCAAGTTTCCATAGCAGCAACTTTTGTAGTGGCTGAAATTTGATGGTGAAAATTGTTTGACGAGTACTTTAAGTGTAGAAGATTGAGTGACTAGTTGTTATTCTTTGGTATAATAAGAACATATCATAGACATTCAAAGAATCAATTAGTTCTTTATTTTCGTTTTATCAAGAAAAAATGAAGAAAGTCACTAAATGTTAATCAGAGTAAACATAATCAGTATATTTCCAAAAGTGAAATCTTTCATCTGCTTGATCGAGATGACGTCGTAATCTGTGAGAAATTTTGTTATCAGCAAATGGCAGTTGTTTGAGTGTCTATACACATCATTAGAGATAAGCGAACATGAAATAAGAAAGAAAAATTCATTACTTTGTTATCCTGTAATGCCCAAACCAATTGTTCTGCTCCTGTGTCTTTGATTCTATTACAATGAAGATCAAGTCTGCTGAGTCTCTAGAAGGAAAAGTCAGTGTCAATAGAAAACAAAGAGAAACATGAATTCTGCCGTGCCGATTTTCTTATTTGACTTTCGCCATTCGTCCACAATTCAGTTTTTTCGCTAACTGCACTTTCGGTAACTGCCGAAGTGGAGTTGGCGAAAAAACAGGTTTTGGGCAATGGGCGAAAGTCACCACGAAAAAACTCGTGCTATCCGAAAAAAATACATTAGAATAATAAAATACTTTATTGCATGTTAACATATCAGCCAGGTATTGTGCTCCAATGTCTCCAATTTGGTTGTTCCCAAGATTTAATATTGTGAGTGTCTATGAAAACATTCAAAAAATATATACAAATAAAAATAGTAACACTACAAATCTAACCATATTATTTTTTAATATTTCAGCCAGATATCCTGCTCCATTGTCTCCAAGAAGGTTTGAGTCAAGCAACAATGTATGCAATGTCTGTGTAGAATAAAAGAAGTTACGTACAAGAAAAACAAAACGAGTGCGACAATACGTGATTATTTTTGAATATGTTAACAAGAAGCTCTACTTCTTTGTCTCCAATATTCTCTTGAGAAAGGCATAATCTGGTCACAATCTGAATGAAAAACTAAATATGTAAAGATAACAGAATTTATTAAATGCTTAGTTACCATGTCATCTCGAAATCGAATCGATACTCGAATAAACGCACAATGACCACTTTTATTACCAGATAGCTGCAATACTTTCAGTGTCTATGTGAATAAATGACGATTAATTTCAGAAAAGCGAGTGACAAATCTATAGTACCCTATTTTTTTGTAAAGCATCAGCTAAATATTGTGCTGCACTGTCGCTGATTTGATTTTTTTTATTAAGTGGATCACTGAGTACTAGTGTAACCAGTGTCTATATAAAATGTAGTGAAAATGAATAAGAATAAAAATGATTGAGACTGATTATTACTGTGTTCGTTCGCAAAGCAT